AGTGTTTTTATGGATATGTTTTCCCATCCCTTTCCTTTTAACCTTTCTGGGTTCTTATACTTATGTCTCTTGAAAGCAACATGCCTTTTTAAAAATCTACATGAATCATCTGTTTAATTGGAATATTTAGTCTACTTTCAGTTTTGGGCTCTTATGATATGTTAGCAATAATTTGTATACAAGACTTTTTCTGGGTATACGCTTTTTTTCTTGGGTAAACACCTAGGGGTGAAATTGTTGGGTCCTATAGCTGGTGTATAATGTTATTTGTTTATTTATTTTTTAAATATATCTTTATTGATTTCAGAGAGAGGAAAGGAGAGGGAGAGAGAGATAGAAACATCAATGATGAGTCATTGATCGAGCCCGCAACCCGGGCATGTGCCCTGACCAGGAATTGAACCCTGATCACCTGGATCCCAGGTCAACGCTCAACCGCTGAGCCACGCCCAGTTGGGCTATAATGTTATTTTAAAAAAATATTTTTATTGATTTTTAGAGAGAGAGGGAGGAGGAGAGGGAGAAAGAAAAACCAATGAGAAATATCGATTGGCCACCTCCTGCATGTTCCCCACCCGGGATTGAGCTCACAGCCCGGACATATGCCCTGACTGGGAATTGAACCGGCAACCTTTTTGGTGCCCAGGATGACGCCCAACCAACTGAGCCACAATGCCCAGGGCTAACGTTATTGTTTCTAATTCATGTTATTGAAGTATACATACAATGAAATAGATTTAATGTGTACGGTTTGATGAATTTCAACAAATATGAGTGCGGAGCAGAATTCGTTCTGTGACAGCAGTTGGTGCCCAGCTCTGACTGTGCCCGGAGCTCCCCTGCGTGAGTCTTGCATGCCTCCCCCAGCCACCTGGCAGCGGGCGCTCACGATGCCAGGCCTTCCCGTGCTGTAAGTGACCCGCGCTGAGCCTCCTCCCCAGGTCCCGTTTCCTCTGACTTCACCCACGCGGGGAGCCCCACGCGGGCGGTCGCTGCCTTGGCTCTGATCTCCAAGATGTTTCCCGTCTGCGTGGGCCTGGTTTACCCACGTGGTCAGGAGGGTTGTGGAGTAAGTGCGCACGCGTGCCGGGCACACCTCTGCTGGGACTCGAGGGGACAGACCCCGATGTGTCCCTAGGTGTAGCCACGGGTCAAAGGCAGGCTGGGGGGAGTGTGGCCCAGGGGCGGAGCCTGGCGCGGTGAGAAAAATCTCTGAATGGTGGATTCGTGCGGTCCCTCGTGGTTTTAATGACCAGGGCGGGAGGAGAGAAGTAATAGCGGGTGACATTTATATAACGTATTACGGTTTACACAGCTCTCACGTGTGCATTACCTCACTTGATCTGCAAGGAGCGCAGGGTGGGGATTCAGCACGTGGCCCCAAACTTTGCCTGCTGGGTGTGACCCGGCTGCACCCCTTAACTGTGACCCTGAGCATTATGCCCCGTGTCTCAATTTCTTTGTGTGTGCATCAAAGACACTGATAGTTCTCGATGCGTAGATTTCTTGTGATGATTAAATAAGGTAGGTGATGCCCATAAAACACTTAGAATCGTGCCTCGAGCATAGTAAACACTAAATAAAAGTTGGCTGTTATTACTTAACCCTCTCAATAGGCCCTGGAGATATGCAGACATACCCGTTTTACGAGCTGCAGATGGGGGCGGGGGTGGGGGGGCTCAGAAGCATGGAGTGACCTGTCTGAGGTCACCGTGGAGACATGGGGGTGGGGAGGCAGGGCGTGGACCAGGTCTGCTTGACCCCAAAGGCCTGTCCTTGCAGCTCCCCTCCGTGCCACGTCCGCTGACTTGCACTTTGTCCAGACTCACAGGCAGGAGAAGTAAATTCTGCTGTAGCTGGCCACGTGGCAGGGTGTTAAAAAAGATCACTTTTCTTGTCTGGATGAGCTAAGATCCAAATGAGATGGGTTAGCTGAGAAGGCGCTTTGTGCCCGCTGGTGTAGGAGGGCATTCTAGAGGATTGTGATTCTTATTATTTTTAAATATGTTTTTGTTGATTTTTAGAGAGACAGGAAAGGAGAGAGAGAGAGAGAGAGAGAGAGAGATAGAAACATCAATGATAAGACTCATTGATCAGCTCCCTACTGATCAATGATCAGCTCCCTCCTGCACGCCCCCTACTGGGGATCGAGCCCACAATCTGGGCATGTGCCCTGATCAGAAATCGAACTTCAAGTGTCCTCCTGACAGCCAATCGGAACCAAATTGGATTTAGTGCATTTCACAATTTTTGTTGGACACATTTGTGGATTAAGGGAACAAATTAAGTCCATGTTTTTATTTGACATCGTCAAAAATATGACATGCAGACTGGAAATGGGCCTTCCTGGTCTTGGAATAATTTCAATGGAGCCTGACTCTGCTTCTCAAGGGTATTTTTTATAAAACCTGATTCTCACAAAGATCTTTGGGAAGCCTGGTCCCTCTTACCTGAGACCTGGGTTTAGGCTGGGCTGCAGCACCCAAACCTGAGATGTGATTCTAGCGGGAAGGGCCCCTCTCTGCACCCACCCATCACTCATCTCCCTTTGGTTTTCCCCACGATGTCCCCTGACCATAGCTTAGTTATTTTAAGTTCCAGCATTTTTCTATAACCGGACAGCTTTCCACACGAGAGCCAACTTAAGCACCCTATCGATTCTCTGCACTCTCAGGCAGGCCAATAAATAGATGGCTCATTTGGCAATTAGTTAGGTGCCTTTGGCACTTTGCCTAATGGAATTTAAAACAATGTAGCTATTTCATTTTCCCATCTTTGTTTCTTGGCTTCCCGGTAGAAAGACAGGCTATAAGTGGGCAGGGGACTTCTGCTTCTCTCTCTCTCTCTGTACCTGACACGTAGTTGCATGCAACGAATATTTACTGTCCTGTAAACTTAATTGGTATGTGATTACTTAACAATAAAATGAGAACTTTTTGAGAGAGAGAAGACATTATCTTGGCTGGGCTTTGTAAAGGGTGGACTGCAAAGCCCTCTGGGTTAGTGTGAGGGCTTCGAGGCCAAACAGCCTGGGCTTGAATCCTGGATCCCCACCTACTGATTATACGATCTTAACAATGATGCAATCTCTCCATGCCTCAGTTTCCCCCTCGGTAAACTGGAGGTGACAATAGCACTTGGTCAAGCCCCAGAAACAGGAACGCAGGAAGCATTCTCTAAATATCAGCTGTCACAATTTTATGACTTCCCCTCCCCCAATAATCCTTATATTCTTAAGAAATACATATGGCTAATACATAGGCGGACTTTACCGAATCCAACTTTTGTCTAGATGATCACATTCTTATCTCTAAAACATGTATTATCTGAATGATTGTGGGTTTCCCCCTATTCTCTAAGTTGAAGGAACAGGAAAGAAGCTGACCCCAAGCAATAAAACAAAATAAAATGCAGAATGAATCGGTGTTAACAAAAGAGCCCGAGGGAGCAGTAGGGAGGCTGCCAAATAGATCTATTAATTAAAAGAGAGATAGGGGAGAAAACCATCAATTAAAATTAATTAAAAGTTTTTGTTTGTGATGCTGACCTCATGCTCCAGGTGCCTCAAACATTAGATAATGAACCGTCCTGACATTTCTCCAGCTGGCCACGTGCCCCTGAACAAGACCAGGCCTGTCTCTTCCATCTGGCCCTCCTGGGTTACTTGGGTCAGGACCTGAATCATGGCTCAGGCTCCTCTCCTCTGGAAAGGGAGCAAGTCCCCAGGCCTGGGGAACGGCCCTGTGGCCCCCTCTCCCTCAGTCCCAGCCATCAGCGCCTNTGACCCCAAGCAATAAAACAAAATAAAATGCAGAATGAATCGGTGTTAACAAAAGAGCCCGAGGGAGCAGTAGGGAGGCTGCCAAATAGATCTATTAATTAAAAGAGAGATAGGGGAGAAAACCATCAATTAAAATTAATTAAAAGTTTTTGTTTGTGATGCTGACCTCATGCTCCAGGTGCCTCAAACATTAGATAATGAACCGTCCTGACATTTCTCCAGCTGGCCACGTGCCCCTGAACAAGACCAGGCCTGTCTCTTCCATCTGGCCCTCCTGGGTTACTTGGGTCAGGACCTGAATCATGGCTCAGGCTCCTCTCCTCTGGAAAGGGAGCAAGTCCCCAGGCCTGGGGAACGGCCCTGTGGCCCCCTCTCCCTCAGTCCCAGCCATCAGCTGGCCGCGCTCTCAGACGGCATCTCAATTCTCCGCCCTTGGCCCTGCTCCGAGCCTCGGCATCTCCCTGGAGGCTGCAGTGGCCTGCTACTGGGTCCCCTCGGTTCCGCTCTTACACAACTGCCTTGTCTTGACTTTTCAACTTGCTTTTTGTTCCCCCCCCAGCCTGCAAACTTCTCACTCACCAGGGGCTGCACACGCGTGGAAAGGAAGGAGCTGGAGCTGCCTCCTCAATGTTCTGCTCTCACATCGATGTTTCTTTTTCTCTCTCTCTCCCTCTCCTTTCCTCTCTCTAAAAATCAATAAAAATATGTTTAGCTGTATTTTATATGTAATATAAAATATGCCATATATGTAATCTAGTGTATAAATATAACATGAACACATATATACTATCAGGTACCTACTATATTCCAGACACGCTCTCTCTATGGAGGTTCAGTCCTCACTGTAACCCTGTGAGTCAGTTTGTTTCCCTGATTCTTACTAATTAGGCAATTCCACCGAGATGTTAAGCAGCTTGGCAGGACGTCTCGGGTAAGTGGGAGGGAAGGCTCCTGACCCGTGGCTGACTCCGAAGCCCACAGTGATCCCCCAGGGCCAGAGTCCTGGACGTGGGAGGACATCTCGGCTGAGCCCCGGTGTCCTCCTGGTGCGTTTTAGTTAGGAGCCAGCAGCGGCACCGACAGCATTCTTAGTGTCACGACTATTTTATTTTTTTGCGTGCCTTGAACTTCAAGTGTCACAGCTTAGCCCCACTTCGAGCAGCCTGGCAAGCCTTCCCCCATCTCCTTGGCCTCTCCCCGGGGTCCCAGCCCCGGCCCCTCACAGGTGATTTCTGAAGGTGGAGCAGGCTGCCTCGGGGTGCCCCTCTCCCAGAAGGACATCCAGCCACTCTTCCAGGTCCCGTACCAGCTGCTCCAGATCGCGCACCTCTTTCTCAAGCTTTTCTAAGAAAACTTGCAAGTTCTCCTTCAACCAAATCCTGATGACCTTGATCGGCTGTTTGGAGGGATCATTGGTCTTGTACTCAGACCCCTGAAAGGCAGACACCAAAGTTACATCTTGAGCTTTTTCATGTAGGACCCTTTGCCACTGGCTTAGAAAACTTCCCTGAGCCTTTGCACGTGCTACCCTTTCTGCTTGGAATACCCCTCCCCACTGTCTCAAGCTCCTATTTATCCTTCAAAACCCAGGTCACCCACGACACCTCTAGGAAGCCTTCCCAGATTTCCTCAGCCAAGCTTAACATCCCTTCCGTACCTTCCTGAATGTTACCTGGGAAGCCACCGGATTCTGGGGGTATTTACATTCTCTGATCCTTTCTGACACCTCCCAGCTTCTTCCTGAAACAGGCACAAACACACCTCTTCATAAGGGCAAACGGGTGGCAGTCGACTTAACATAGCTGGTCACCCGGTGGGATGAAGGGTGGCGGGAGAAGGCAGGCACCGCGACCGCCTTGGCACGTAACCGTCTCCGGAACACCCCCTGCGACTGTGTGGACTCGGCTTCTCCTTCCTCAGATTCCAGAAGGCTCACCTGATATCCCGGTGCCCACGTACAGCACCAAGACCAGCAACGCCAGCAGCGTCTGGGGGCAAGGGGAGGAGGAGGAGGTAAATGCTGGGGCCGGTGGGCATCTGCTTCTCCCGAGGGTGGGCCCGGGACAGCGAGGGGATCGGATGGGCTGTAGAGCTTAACTTTTCTCTAGTTCCCCAAGTCAGGGCTTCCTCCAGACCCCCCGCATTGCAGAAGGAGGCGATGTGGCAGCCAGCGGGCAGTCCCCGGAGATTTCCCTCTTCTCCCTGCTGAGGGTAGGGCCCACCTCTGCACATCCCTTGCCTCTTACGTCTTTTGTTTGAAAGGATCTTTAAACGGAATCAACTTCAGCGCTGGCCGGTGTGGCTCAGTGGTCAGAGCATCGGCCGGTGCACCAGAGGGTCGCGGGTTTGATTGCTGGTCCAGGGCGCACACCTGGGTTGCAGGTTCGATCCCAGCCCCAGTGAGGGTGCGTGCAGGAGGCGGCCGGTCACTGCGTCTTTCTCACGCGGAGGGTCTGTCTTTCTCTCTCTTCCTCCCACCCCTCACCCCCGTCTACTCTCTCTAAATAAAGAAAAAGGAAGCAACTTTGCCACAGTATGATTTACATACAGAAAAATGATGTCTTTTAAACGTACAGTTTAGTGAGTTTTGGCAAACGTTTACACCTGTGGACTCCCACCCCTAGAAGGAACAGCTCTATCCTTCTAGAAAGTTCCCTCATGCTTTTTTGCAGTCAGCTCCCTCCTTCCCTCTGGCGCAGGAAATTCAGACACCCCTGCTTTCACAGACCGGGTGAGTTGAGACAGTGACAGGGTCCGGGGCGAGCAAGAGGGACAGAGGATTAGGTGCACCCAGCACTGACTGCTGCTGACTTTCCTGGCTCGCTGCCTGTGGACGGGGCTCGATGGCATGTGACTCCAGACCGCACATTTCTTGCGTACCCGAGTTTGTGAGGCAAGCCTTAGACCCGCCACCACAACAAAGGACATAAAGGGTTGGCATCACTGCCTCTCCCCCGGGCAGTTTCCTTTGTATAGACCAGCAGCTCTATTCTTCTTATTAACTTCAAAAATAAAAATAAATTATGTTGCTTACAACGTGGCCGAGCCTCGCAGACACACTGATGAGTGAGAGAAGCCAGACACGAAGGTGCGCACTGACTTCATCCCCGTGAAATTCTAGAACACACGCAACTCATCTGTGATGACAGAAGTCAGGACTGTGGCTACGGGCGGGGCGCTAGCCGCGAGGGGGCCCCCGGAGCCAGCTGGGGCCCCGAATGTTCTGTAGCTTGGTCCCCCCGCCTGGTGGCCGCCCGTGTGCGTAGGCCCGGTATGAAAGTTACTGCCCTGCGCACCTAAGACTGGGGTGCTTTTCCTCTTCTCCAGTGTCCCCTGGGAATCTTTCTAAGACACACAGAACCGCCCTGTTCTGTGCAATGGCCGGTGAGTGGGCTGAATGCGCTTCCATTTCTTGGACCACTCCTCTGGCCACGCGCTTTGCAGGCTGAGGTTTCCCACGGCGCACTCGCTGCTCGGTTTCTGTTTCGTGTTCCATGGAAGCGAAGGTGGGGAGTAGGGACTAGGGTTCAGTTTTAGTCTTTCTCTTTGAGCTGTCTTAGGCTTGAGCCAAATCACTTCTTCTCGCCAAGCCTCAGTTTCTTTACCTGCAGAATGGATTTTGAAATCTACCGCTTTGAAAAAGGAGGGGCGGGGCTCTGATTTGAGAAATGCCATGGTAAACAAAATTAAGTGAATTTCCTTGCTGCAGGACTTCTCAGAGCCTTCATTATTTGAATGAGCAGTGTAAATCTCCAAGAAGGGACAAGGGTATCGGCGTTCCGCAGACCACAGAGCTCTTTTAATGATCCTTCTAAAAGGAGCATTCCTGGGGGTTGGTATTTGTGGAACACTTTTTAGGAAAAGCTGTAGCATGAGGGGAACCCCTCCAGCCCCATCCTGCTGTGAGGCCCAGCGTAAAGGAGTTAGTGGCGCATAAGGGAGGTACAGTAAGTGAGCAAGTGAACAAGTCTTCTGAACACATATGTAGATCAGTCATCCATCGCTCTGTTTAAAACCATTCAATGGCTTCTTATTAACCTCAGAATAAAATCCCATCCTTCTGTTGTGTGAGGCCCAGCTGACCTTCCAGCTTCCTTTATATCCCTCCTTCACTTCTCCACCCGGGAGGCCGTGGAGCGCAGGGTCACCTTGCTAAGGGTTCTGGAATCAGATGTGCTTGGTTTCAGATCCCAGCATATCCTGGCTCTATGGCCTTTTTGCCATTCTGAGCCTCAGTTTACCCATCTGTGAATGAGGCCCACAGCAGCTGCCTCTCAGGAATGTGGAGGTGGAAGCGCCAGACTGGGGACGGTCAGTGTTAGCGTTTTCCATTTTGACAAAGATCCCAGGAGAGGTTTGAATTTCAGTCCTAGAACAAATGCTCCAAGAGCGCTCCAATTGGGGCTGTTATCCTATTTATTTCAGTTCGTTCATTCATTCATTCATTCAGTACTTATGCACCAAGCACCACTCTAGGCACTAGAGATAGAGCAGGAACTAAACTAAAACCCCAGCCTGGTGCCCATGTTGTCTGCGGGAAGCGCCTGAGCCCCTGCACGGGGTGCCACTAGGCCGGGCTCCAGGGAGGCTCGAGCTGGCAGCCTGTTCCTGACCTTGAGGGCCTGACTGTCTGTCTGGGAGCCAGACGGGAGGAGAGCTGGGTAGACCTGGTCTGGCCTCACCTGCTTCTTGTCCTCACAGTGACTCTCCCTTCTGGGTTCGAACAGCTCTGTGGCCTCTCGCCCCCTGCTATCCACCTGTTGGATCGCCATGGCCTCGGTCAGGCTTCCCGGGTGGGACAAGGTCCCCACACCTGACAGGCAGATAGGCACCTCCCCAACATCCTCTGGTCACCAGGCATCCCTCAAGCAATGAGTTCTGATGTCACAGAAGGTGAGGGACAGTGAGGTGCCCACCTTGTCACCACCCTGATTTTTAGCCCTGCCCTTCACATTTCCCCCCTGCATAAAAATGTAAAAAAAACACCAGGAAGAAATGCATCAGAAGACGGTATTTCAGCGTGACATTTTTTCTGATTTCCCCCCTATATTTTCAGGATTTTAATAAAATATGGGTTTTTAAATACAAAACAATAAAAGCTATTTTTAATTGAAAATTTTATTGATATAATTGTAGATTCATGTCAGTGGTAAGAAAAAAATATAGGAGATCTTGTGTACCCTTTAACTACTTTCCTCCAAGGGCAGTGTCGCAGTAGTGCAGTATCACAACTGGGATATTGCTACCGATACAACTTATCAGTCTTGTTCAGATCTGTTGTCCTCATTTGTGTGTGTATTTAATTCCAAATAATTTTATCACGTAGGTAGGTCTGTGTATTCACACTACAGTCAAATCCAGAATTCCAGACCTAGAGGTCCTTGTGTTACCCTTTGATGCCCGCCGCCTCCCTCTGACCCCCGCCCCCTGTGCCTAACTCCTGGCAACCACTGGTCTGTTCTCCATTTCTAAAATGTTATCTTTTTAAAAATACCATATCAATAGAATCAAATAGCATGTGGGTTTTGGAGATTGGCTATTTTTGTACTTAGAATTCCCCGGCGACCCATCCAGACTGTTGCATGCATCAGTAGTTTGTTCCTCTTCGTGGCTGCGTAGTACTCCATGGTATATATGTACCACAGTTTGTTTAACCATTCGCCTACCCAAGGACATCTGGCTGTTTCCAGTTTTTGACCCTTATGAATAAAGCTGACATGGACATTCTTATTCAGGATTTTGTGTAAACCTCGGTTTGCATTTCTCTGGGATGCCTAAGAGGGCAATTGCTGGGTTGTATGGTAATTGCCTGGTAGTTTGGTAAGAAGCTGTCGAACTCTTTTCCAGGATGGCTGTACCATTTTACACTCCCATCAGCAGCATATGAGTGATTTGGTTTCTTCTCACTCTCATCAGCACTTGGTGTTTTTGTTATTTTTTATTTTAGATATTTTGATAGGTATATAGTGATTTTACTTTGCATTTCCCTGATAGCTAATAATGTTGAACATCTTTTCGTGCTTATTTGCCACTGTATTTCCTATGAAATGTCTGTTTATGTCTCCTGCCCATGTTCTAATTGGATTATTTTTATCACAATTGAGTTGTGTGAGTCCTTTATATATCCTTTTTGGGATAGATGCTTTGTAAATATTTTCTTTCCTTCTGTAGCTTGTCTCTTCATCCCCTTCACGTGGACTTTTGCAAAGAAAAGTTTTCATTTTGATGAGGTCCAATTTATCAATATTTTCTTTTGTGTTGTGTGTGTGTGTGTGTATCATTTAAGAACTTTGTGCCTAACCCTAGAAACAGAAAACTTTTCTATTTTAAAAATGTTTTATAGTTTTATACTTTACAGTCCAGTCCATGATCTGTTAGGAGTTAATCTTTGTATCAGGTGTGAGGTTTGTATCAAGGGTCATTTTTCTGGCCTGTGTATGTCCAGTTGCTCCAGCACCATTTGTTGAAAACTCTACCCTTCCTCCTTGAATTGCTCTGGCGCCTTTGTCGAGTTGAGCATAGTTGTGTGGGCTTATCAAATGGGCACTCTACTCTGTTCATTCCTCTATGGATTGCTCCCTGCACCGATAACGCACTATCTGGATATTGAGTAGAGTGATTTTTCCCACTTTGTTCTCTGCCAAGATTGTTTCAGCACTCCTAGGGCCCACTCCTTTCCCTTTTCCTTTCCAAACTTTAGAATAAGGTGTCTGTGTCTGCAAAAACCCTCGCTGGCAGGGATTTTGCTAGGAGCGGCATTAAACCCGCAGATCACTTTGGGGATAATTGACATCTTGACTACGTGTGTCTTCCACTCCATGAACACACTGCACCTCCCCATTTATTTAGGTTCCCTTTGTTTGCTTTAATCAGCATGATGTCATTTTCAGCATACAGCTCCTGCATGGTTTTTTAAGTGTATAATAGATATTTCATTTCCTCTGACTTCCCTCATAGTTTAAAAGCCCTCATCTAACAAACAAGTTTCACGGGTTAAGAAATCAATAATTTTTATGCATTAACTTTCTCAAAGTTACACATCACAGCTTCTGGTTACCTTTATTTATTGAGCATCTACCAGACTTGGCATTTCACTGGTTTACTTATGTCTTCTCTAGGCTATGACTCTCCTAGTAGCTGGAAACGGAATCTGTTTTACTGTCCATTGTATCTCGGATGCCCGTTGGGCAGCCCGTTTCACACTAAATGTTCAGTGAAAAGATTTGTGGAATGGATGAGTGATAAGCAGCTTCACACTGTGGGCCCTGAGAGGCCATGACCTCTGTCCGGTGAACACGCTTCTGTATTCACAGTCCGTGGCCCAGTGACTGTTTGTGGAGTGAGTAAAGCAGGTGTATGATTTTAATTTTACAGTGAAGGAGCTGAGGCCTGGGCACCAGCCATGGTCGCTGTTGTGTACTGAGCCGGGCCCCATGCCCAGTGCTTTCCGTACATGATCTCATTTAACCATGGGGACTGCCCCGCAAGGTCGGTGCTGTCCATCTCTCTGACTGGATACTACTCCCTTTATTCAAGTCAGACACCCTCCCAGGAATCTGAGTTCAGGTTCATTTAACTCCAGACCCTTTTCGTTTACCCCAAGGAGTTAATGTAGCTTCAGCCCAAAGCAAAGAAAGTTGCCATTCTTGGTATCATTTGTGTCTTTATCGTGGGTAAGGAGATGTGAGATTCCCGTTAAACTTTTTGAAATATCAAAAGTAGCTATAGCCCCTCCTCCCTCTCCAACTTCGTGACTCCCCCAGTTTGGCACCGAGGGATTTCACACAACCTCCACTTCTCCTCCCCCCTCGCCCTGCATATCCGTAATATTATCACCATCCCCAGCTAAGATACTCCAAGAAATGACTGAGCACCCGGCCCTATGCAAAGCACTTTGGCCATATCAGTTCATCGTATTATTCCAACTCCAGGTGGTGAATAATATTGTTACCCCCATTTTACAGATGAGGAGACTGAAGCTCATTCACAGGGTCAAGGCACTTCCCCGAAATCACTCACCTAGTGAGAGGCCGGGCTGAGAGCGGACCTTTGAGGGGCCTGATCCCAGCACCCAGGCTCTTGTTTGCCATGAGCTACACCCTTTCCACGGGAAAGCTCAAGGCCAGGCAGAGAAAGGGACCAACCAGCCCAAGTCAGCTGGAGGGGCAGGACTAGGGCTCCTCTCCTGCTCCCGTCTGGGGTCTTCAGGCAGCCACCTGCCTCATCCCCATGGTCCTGCACGTGCTGCTGGCCTCTTGGGCTTCCCGTGGAAGAAACATCTCATCCCAGCTACAGCTAGATACGCAAGGACCGCCCGTTAAACTAATTTCAGGCATCGAAAGTAACGAATTGCAGTTGTGGAGAGAGAAGAATATCAGAATCAGGAACATTTTAGGGGAAACTCAGTGGATTTTCCCTGGAAACTGCTCTGAAGAGCAGTGATGAGTAGGGGACTTGTAGGGATTCGCTCTGAGGACCCTTTTCTGAGAATTCAGCCTCAGGACAGGGAAGAGAGGGAAGGGTGGTCCTCCCTGATCCTTATGACGCATACCCAAAAGTCGCTGTGGGCGGTGGGCTGGGGGAGGGTCTGCAGTGGGCTGGTGGCACCCTAGCCTCCTACCGGCGCCCTGCCTTTAGTCTGATGGAAGAAAGACTTGTATTTGTAACAGGGATTGCAAACTCAGATGCATAGAGGTACTGAACTAATAACAAAATGAGAGGAGTGGGCTGCATGTGCAACAGAAAGGCCTGGTGGGGACTGTGGCAAATTATTCCATGCAGATCTACAAGCTCCAGCCAATTGTTGCCACGAAAATGTGGGGTCCAGTGTTGCAAAATCTTCAGGGTTGTTTTTTAGTTTTTTTTTTTCAAGAAAAGCTAGGAATTCAGTCTTTTATGTGTTATCTCCTGATTTGTAAATGTTGGCAACAAATTCAAGTTTAGAAAAAATATACTGTGTGGGCAAAATGCAGGCCATTGGTTTGTGAGCTCTGGTTTATTGTGTGTCCGTTGGGTCTAAATATGGCTTGTTCCCTAATCATCATAACCGTCCTGCCATATGGGGGTTCTTATCTGTGAAGGCAAGCGACAGAAGCCCCTGTGGCTAACTAAAATCAGAAAATGCAAATTTTGGAGGGATGTCCAAAGGGGCCTCCTGGAATTGATGGAGAGGCTAAAGATTCAGGCACTGGAACTACAGGCCAGGGCCTGTCACAGGAGTGGTCTGAACCCAGAACCGTAAGCTCTGAGTGGTTGGATTCCAGCGCCATGAAGGGATTCTAAATTCTCTCGGTGTCTGCATTAGTTACCTAGGGCTTCTGTAACAAATTTTTACAAACTTGGTGTCTTAAAACAACAGAAATTAAATTTCTCACAATTCTGGAGACCAGAAGTCCAGAGTCAGTGTCTCTGGGCTGAAATGAAGGCATCAGCCTGGCCACACACCCTGTGGAGCCTCTAGGGGAGACTCCTCGGCGGTGCCAGCACTCCTTGGCTTGGGGCCGCATCACTGCAGTCGCTGCCTCTGTGGTCGCATGGCTTTCTCCCTCGTGTGGGTAAAATCTGCCTCTTAATAAGGGCGCATGGATTGCGTTGGGGCCCCCCAGCTAATCCAGGATGATATTCTCATCTCAGAATCCCGAATTCGATGACATCTGCAAAGTCCTTTCCTGCAACACAAAGCAACATTCACGGCTTCCATGGATTAGGACGTGGATGTCTTTGGGGGACTTTCGCCAGCCTGCCACAGTGTCTTTGGGACACTCCCTGAAGA